CGGGGAGCCCAGGGGGCAGGTGCGGGGGCATCTCGGGCGCGGCGGGCCAGGGCAGAGGGGACTGGTGCCGCAAGGGCTCCGAGGCGGAGGAAGGGGGACGGGGAGATGGAGGCGGGGGCCAGCCCAGCCCAGCCCTCCGATGCCCGCAGGGGAGGCTGCCCCGCCGCCGGCAGGGTCTGGGCGCCCTCCTGGGCTCTCCACGAGGCTGGATTCGCTTCTCGTCCCTCTTCCTACCACCAGCACCCATGGGTGTCCTTGCCTAGCTCCCCAGTGTCCCACCTAGCCACGCTGCGGGCTCCTTTCTGGCTCTGCATCCAGTTCCTCTTTCCTTCCTGTCTCCCCATTGCCTGCTGTCCCTGGTAAGAAACTGCAGCCAAATTAAGGTCTTCCTTCAACCTGAGGTAAGGTAAGGAAAGGACCCACGGTTTACTCCCTTTTGGGCACTGTAAACAGAGCATATTAGCAACGGCTATACCAAGGGAGCGTGCAACACAGACTTTTATGCACAAGTTTTCTTTTATTTCATCCCCTGCAGCCCTCCCCCCACCCCTCCCCCCGCGCACACGCACCTTGTTTGTTCATCCATGGGGCTTTCTGGGTCAGGCATTTCTGTGGGACTCCCACAAACCAGCTACCATCTGGCCTGGTTTTTATGAACGTTAATAGGTATTTCAAGCTGTACCAGATCTTTGAGAGGGAGACTAGCAAAGCATAGGCTATATTTAGCGGCTATAAATTAAAATCCATCTTGGCAATTGAGACAAAATAATAATAATTTTTAAAAAATCACAACTGAGAAGGGAAGGTTATTTTGCTGTATGTGGGCAAACGCGTGTTTTTAAATAGCCTTGCCCTTGAAGGGCAAGAGACATGCCACTAAAAATTGAACCAACTTGACATATGCCTTCATTTCCCTGGGAGGCATCTACCACGTTCTGCCAAGAAATAAGCAGCATTAGACTTGATGGTAAATCAAAAATGCTGCCATCCTCCTTGCCTCGGTATTTTTTGTTTGTTTTGTTGTTGTTTTTTAAAGAAACAAACAAACCCTGGCCTTGATTTAATATTTTGGTGGCTTACTATGTGTGAGACATTGTAAAAATTTAATACAATTATAAGCTGAGTTGACCTAGAGCTGCAGCAAAGCTGTTTAACCCTCCAGCACTTCTCAGACAGTATCTGCATTTGAGGATAGGTTTTGGGGTTTATTTCACTTGAGCTAAACTGTGTGAACCTGGGGCATGATGTTTAAGTCTTATTATAAAGGACCAAAGTACAACTAAATGAAATACTGTCCAAGATTTTCAAACGAGGCATCTCAAATGAGGGCATTCATTCCTTGTAGATTAAGTAAAAAGTTTTCAGAGGTGCCCCCATTTACTTTCCATTTGACAATCCATCATTTGGTGCTTTTCCAAAAAATCATCTGCTCTCTTCAGAAGTGCCACACACTCTACTGTTTCTGCTATAGTTAATGGAAGCTGCTTGATATTCAGCCCTTGTGAAAATCAGACCTTTTACCAAAACTGGGATTTTCAAAAGTCCTGGAAGGACTTGAGAGCAGAAGGCTCATTGAATTTCAGTGAGACTTGTATGCCAAGATCATGTAGGTGCTTAAAAAAATCTAACCCAGCTCCATGTTTACATACTTAACAGTATTTAAAATAAATGAAAAATGCGCTTCCTAGGCCCTGTGTTCATGACTCATACACTTAAAAGAAACAGTGCCCATTTGAACAAAAAAATCTGGATGGTCACTTTTTGAATCTCCTATCCAATGAAGCAGCCTAGTGAGTGGAAAGATGGGTTTTTTTGCTCTGTCTGGGGACTAGTAAATAGTCATCTTTCTCTTAATTTTGATGTTGTAGGCAGTATTTGAGAAAGCAGCTGGCTTAACGATAGATCAATAGCTGGTTCAGAATAAATAAGAGAAAAGTATGGCCTAACAACTAAAACAATAGAAGAGCACTCCATAAGGCTATAAGAGTCAAAACTAGACAAGGAGAGTATGTGCATGAGAGAGAGGGAAGGAGCACTGTTTGAGAGCTCCTGAGACAGGAGACTTTTAGCAGGGAACATTTAATCTCTGTCATCTCACATTCAGTGCTTTAGATGGACTCAAATAACCTCACTTCCCCTCCCTTGAGCAAAGTCACTTGCAAGTTGGGAAATGAGAGAAAGTTGAATCAAGTTTGATCTTCAAGGACCTGATCTCCCTGCATTTCATAAGCAGTCAGAAAATTCCTGCTGACGTTAATGGGAGCTTTTGGTTCCCAAAGGACCTACAAGCTCTGATCCTCTGTCTCCCAACATATAGGAGATAGAGTTTTGTTTATTCTTGCAGTATATTTTTATGATGTGAAGTAAGCCAAATGTGAGAATAGATTGTACAAGAACAGCATGACTCAGAGCCCCAGGAAACAATTGCACTAAAGTTCAGTGCTCTGTATTTTTTTTTTCCTTAGAAAAGTGTTATATGGCCTCCTATGATTCCAAAGTTCAGCGATTCAGGACTGAAATAAAGGGCTGATCTTACAAAGACATAAGCACGAGTAAGCCCCATTCATGCTCTGTTTCATGTGATTCCTGCTAACCTGATACTATAAAGATTTATGCATGAGAGACTTGCAACTGCTGCTTTGAATAGTTAGTCATGTGGTTAACCTGTTACAGGATTAAACCCCAAGTTAACAAAAAAAAAACCCCATACGATGGTACAGAATTCCTCCAGAATGTACTGTAACAGATGTATATAGATAGTTTAGATAAGAAATACTGCTGACAAACTGATTTCTGTCACTCCTTCAAGACCAGAGAAACCTGTAGAAAGGTTGGAGACTACACTCCTTTCTGCACTGAAGGAGGGGAAAAGTCAAAGTGTGAGTCTAAAAAAACTGCTGCCCTCTCCAAAAATGATCCTTCCTCTTTGGGAGACCACCCCAACCCCACCCTTCCTTCCACTGTCTTGCATTGTGAGCTTTGTCCAAATAAATTTTGTTTTAAAAACGGTATTTCATGCAATTAATAAGCAACCTTCTGTTCTATTTTCTGTTTCAACATTCAGGCTTTGAATAATGTTAGGAAGTACGGCCATTTTTATTTTATTTTGGAGGGACTACTTTTTTTACAGAAGGTGGAAGAACATCCACACAAGAAGCAGCCCTTAGGTGAGTCACCACAACGTATAAGTAGCATTTCGGGAGAGCCTTTCCAAAGCTCTGCTCTCGTTAGAGCCAAAGAGTGGAACATCCTTAGGGGAAAGCTGGCAACATCTACTGAAGGCTTTTAATGGTTCTCACATATCGATCCAACGTGACATAGAGCAAGGTTCTTAGCAGGGCGTTCTCCAGCAAAACAAGGGAACAAACTGGCCTAATGGTTAGAATAAAGGACAGGAAGACTAGAGACTCGGGATTCTATTGTGTGGTCTTGAGCCAGTTAGTTATTTTTACCTCTACTTTCTTCTAACAGAGATAATATCCACTTGAGCTCATTGGTTAAAACTTGCAGTGCAAACACAGTCAGATACTCTTAGATGCTCATTCCAAAAGAAAACCTTTCAGTATGCTGATTATGGCCTTGCAGACCTTCCTCATCTTCCTGTTTTTAACACTGTTGGTCTCTGTGACCAACAAGAACTAGCAGCAAGAGCCAGCTGTGTAAATTCTGTTCCAACCAAAACTCTAGTTTTAAATTTCTCAGTTGTGGGAAAAGGTGGGGAGTCCAACAGTGATGGAGAAACATGATGTCTGGTTCAAGCACACTGTAATCTGGGAAGTAATTGATAGCTATGGACAGCACTCTTTCTCTCTCTTCCTTGTGGTTAACCCCTCCCAAAATCTGGTTGCCTAGCAAATCTAAAACCAATGGCTCACGTGCCACGTATGCCTGCTTTGTACATGTGGCATTGCTGATTCATCCAAAGAACGTTACACATGCTCCTTGGTTTACTGAATAGGTTAGTTTAGGAGAGAAAGAAGTGTGTCCTGTTACACTTCGTTTTTTCTCAGTGCTACTCTTCCTTACTGGTCAGGAGCTGATTCAGCTTCTGACATGGATATTATCAAGTACCATCACAGTTCATTACTAGGTGCAATGAGTCAGTCACTCTCAAAAAAATTGCATGACTACAACCCTTCCCTTCACCCATTTCGGAAAGAGTCTGCTTTCATTAAGGAATGGATGAACGAAGTTATCAGTACCCTGGGCTATTAAAATGATGGTATCTAATTTTAATATAGCAGATTTCATCAGGCCATTTTACAAAGATGTTGAGTATTTGATGGGAAAAAATGAGGCACAGGAATGGAGGAGTGACTTGTTCAAAGTCACCCGGAAAACTGGAGGTAGGAATAGAGCCCAGGTCTTCTGATCCTTAGTCCAGTGCTCTTACCATTATACTTCCCTGCCTGTAACTCTTGCAAGGTTACAATTTATTCCTGCTTCCCTCCCCAACATCAAGAAGCTCGTGCTGGATTCTGTTAAAATATGGTACTGGGCATTTCTGAAATAATGCTGGACAGAGACAGGAGAGGCATAGATCTTGTTGCTAGCATGCGGAAGGGTCGTGTAATATACTCAGCAGCAAGTTGCCCAGTTAACTGCATAATGATAATCCACCTTACATATTTTATAGAAACCAGCTAGGAGGTCACCTGTTTATCCCTCCCCCACATGACATCATTGCATATGATGTTCTTGGATACACCCTGCTGGGAATATGAAGGGGCAATAAATCTGGACCTCTACTTTCTCTCTCAGAGACCTTCAGTCTGTTGGGTCAGCAGGAGTGAGGTCTAGCAATTATAGAAGAAGATATGGAAGTTATACTCTTGAGAGTTTTATTTTGGGGTCTTCCAGATTCACTATCTGACGCTGGCCCAAACCATGAGGCTCAGATTTTCAAAGATGCCTAGAAGAGTTGGTCTTGCCTCTCACTGAAGCTCAGTAGAACTGGGCATCTGATGCCTTTAAGCATTTTTGAAAATACTAGCTAGCCTAATCCTAGCTATGTCTCATCTGATTCTCTGTAAAATAAGGGATGACAGGTGCACGCTTCCTCTGAGGTTGCATATCAAGACTGACTGATTCCCAAGCACCTATTCATCACAAGAAACAGGAGGTTTGCACATATGTACATTTTCATTGTGTAGATTTTGAAAAGAGTAGCTGAAATTCTATCATGGCCAGGAATTCCAAAGTAGTTCCATTGCACATAGTCTGGCTAGGGGGAGGTGAAGCTGGAAGGCCAAGGATGAGGGGCTGTCTTTTGGTTGTAGCCGTGTTGGTCTAAGGACATAAATGTGCTTCTCTCATTTCTTGGAGCCTCAGAACAGCAGAGACTCCCTATGCCTGAAGAAGGGTGGCTGCGCCCAAAAGCTTGCTGAGATCTTTTTTCCAACTACTCAGTTGGTTTAATAGAAGATATCACATCTACTCAAAAAAAATTTCCTGCCAAGGAGGAAAGGCAAAATGTTTCTCCTGAGATGGAAACATCTTTCAGAGGACCCTGTAGATAATCCTGCTGTGGGATCCAGTTGGAGAACAGAGTTCCAGACCCAAAAATATTGATTTCAGATAAGGCAAAGAGTAAAAATTAAGTGATCAGATTGTTGACCTATTCATGGATTTTTTTTCCTATTCCATGAATAGGCCAACAGTATGTAACAGTGCTTGACTCAAAGGCAGCACCGCTTTTTGAGATCCTCATGCACCAGACTTTAAATGTCTTGTCTTTGATGTGATTAGGTTAAAAATATCTGAGGGCCTGATCCGTTACTTTTTACTGATTTGAGCCAATGCTGAAATATTAGGCCTAGGAGGGTATTTGAAAAGTCAAGTAAGTTTTTTGTTTGTTTGTTTTGGTTTTGTTTTTTTACCATACCGGTGTGGATTTCCCTGAGGTTTAGCATAATTAGTAATTGTTTTCTGTTGGGACTTTTTAAGAACTAGCATACTTTCTCTGAGCTTCCACGCTAGACTTAGACCAAAAGTTATTTTCCCTTCATAAAATTCTTAGCCTTGCAAAGACTATTATGGAAACTGCAAGTCAAATTTTGTGAATAGAAAGTTGATACCAACTTCCACATAACAGCCAAGTGTGTACGAAAGTTATTTTTAAAGGGACACTGTCAACTTTACCATTCATTCTAAAGGAATATATAATTTCCTTATCTCTTGCCATTAACACGTCATTAAAACCAAGCCCAGTTTATAAAATGCAAATGACTTTTTCATGTATCTGGCATTTACTTGTTATGCTTGTGTCTTCCTGAACAATGAATATCATTGTGGTTGGTTTCATTTTGTTTCCTTTTGCCATAGCATTGAGGTTTCCTATGCTCCAAGGCAGCAATAGGCGACCTTTTATGGCTGTGGGCCACAATGCGCACCCCACCCCCCGCTACTCCCAGGTCAGAGGTGCTAGGATCTGCCTTTAGCTGGTGCTTCTCCCCACGGCAGCATAGGAAGAATGCCCACAGCCAAAACTCCCCACACAGCCTAATGCTGTCAAAGCTCCGCATCTGTGGGTCAGATCCAGTGGCTCTGTTGACTGGATGCAGCCTGCAGGCCATAAGTTACCAGCCCTTGGTTTAGGGGAATTAAAAAAAAGTCATGTGTTTCTGGGTATTATAATAGTTTATTCCTACCAACTTTTAGTTTGGGAATTTGATTTTTAGTTGACAACTTCCTTTTAAATTTATACGTTGGATTTTTTCAGGTAACTTTTGTGTTCCATGTTTCTAGCAGGAACTAGTTCAAAACAGCAGATTTAAACTGACCCACCCACCCCACCTCATTGAATTGAAATAGCCAAGATAGTAATGCCTGATTTTTCCCACAAGAGTTGGCTCCAAGCTGAAATTCCTCCCAGTCTATCTGTCAGTCCCTCTGATAAATTGTTGGGAGATTTTTCCAGCCATTCAACTGGCTTCAGCGGGAGAAGCCAGTCCTCAGCACAGGAAGTTCCTGCATAGGTTTGAGCTGAAGCCTGTTTTTTGGAACCCTATTTAATTAATGGCCACAAGAGGTCAGCAGAATCCAGGACAAAGCAAATGCATTTCCTTGTCCAGAATGTTATGCTTGCTTAGTTATTCCCTTGCCCAGGGCTTCTTCAAACAGGGCAGTCACTTGGCATTTCTGCTCCACAGTAGGTCTTTTAAAAAATGATTCTACTGAAAAAGCAGGGCAGTTATACCAAAATAAAATTGCTTTTAGTTTTTGGAATGGAGTGTCTACGCGGGAGTTATTCCACCATAGCTATGTTATGCTGGCTCATTTCATATAGGCAGGCCCTAAGTCCTTGAAGTAGGTAAGAGACATCAGTTGTATTTAGCAATCTTTCCCTGTCCATTCACCCCTTCCCACATACAGTAGTTCTTACTCTCTTGTTCTTGTTGCAGTGGGGAGTCAAATGTTTTAAGGTTTACAGCCAGGCTTAAAAAAAGTTGGTGTGTTCTCTGTGTAGCAGAAAAGAGAGGTCATTTTATTTAGAATTGGAGAAATCTGTTGCAGCTTGTAACACAGTACCCATAGGTGACAGTGGAGAAGCTAAGTGATCGTTAACCAAATTACCCTTGTGGTTTACAGCAATGAGACCAACTCAAAGGGAGCCTTAAACGGTAACATCAGGAAAAGCGGTGTTTGGCGAGTGATGTGCTAAAAATGAAAAGGTGCTTTGAGGGTGTTGGGCTGCGATGCCTGTTTAAGGTTAGTGCAATTCTCACATGTTTTGACCTTTGCACATCAATGTCTTCTCTCTCTGGCTTATGAAGTGGCTGTTGTTTAATAAGTGCACCTGTGTTGGTACTGTGCAGTCGTGCTGGGAATGGTAGCTGCAAAGCTGCCTCAGCTGATCTGCTTTCTGTGTATGTTCCAAGGCACTTCTATTAGCCTCTGGTGACAGAAATAGGGCCCTGATCCTACAAACCTCTCCAGACTGCCCCCTGTGTCCCTACAGAGCTTTAGTAAGGCCAATGGAAGTAAAGGGTTCTCCCCGCACTGAGGCACTTGCAGCATCAGAATGCTATTTTTCATTTGGCCTTTTAGGCACTGACAGGCATGCAGCTACCTGCTCTAACTCATGGCACTTTACAGAAAGTACCATGCATTAAAACAATCCCCACCCACCCACTCAACAGCTGTTCGCTGTTGGAGTGGGGAGGGAGGTGCTGTCTGCCTGAGGTGGGTGGGGGGTGCCAATCTGCTCACCCTGCCTCCAGCTCAGGCTGAATAAACCCCCAGCCCACAGCTCCCTCCCCCTCCCTTCCTGTAGACAGCAGCAGGGGCAGGGCTGAGCTACATCAGCCCAGCCCTGATAGCACACATGGATTGACAGAAGTTACCTAAGGCACTCTAATTTGGAGTGCCTTTGTCTGATCCCTCATTAGATGAGGGTTAATTTGTCCTGTGATCAGCCACTTTTAAAGTGTTCTGCAGCCGTGCACGTGTGTCATGGTACAGCTGTAGAGCACTTTCAGGGGGCCGATCGTGCAACAAATGTCACTTCTGTCAGTGCCCTCAAGAGAAAACACAGCTCTGGGAAATGGAGGTGGGTTTTATCCTGCCTCACATGGCATTGGTGAAAATTTTAGTTACATTCAAATAGAAGGACCAGATGTTGCACACTTGTGCCAGCCTTTTCTGAAAGGCCATAAGGGTCTGCTCTTAGATAACTAAAGATAGAGTCCTCATCCCTATGGCCTAATTCCAGTTGGGTAGGGGTGTCAACAGTTTGATGTCAACACAAAAATGGAAGGACTCGGGTGAATCAGACCTGGAATTTGAAGAAGGTGGATGCTGCCTGGGCAATTGAGAGCAGAATTGGACTTGCAGAATCACACCCCAGCGTAATTTTTGTGCCAAGAAGAATATAACTTGGCTTTCAAAGCCCTGGGTGAATCTCTAGATCTGGTGGATATAGGGGGACCCCATGCAACCCATTTCAATTGTAACTAAGCACACTGACAGGGACTCTTTGGGAAGCAAGCAAACATAGGTCACCTAGGAGGCCATTTTCAGAGCAAAAATATTGCCCTACAGTTGCGTTGTCTTAACTGGGTCCTCTTGTGAGCATGAGGACAGCACATAGGTTAATAGTGACTGTCTTGGCTGCAGTAACGTCCTAGATTAACAGGGGCAAAATTATCTCTTTACCAAAGGGATAAACTTCTTAAAGTCAGGGTTAAGATATCAGGTAAAGATTAAGTCCCTTCTACCTAGGACAGAGAGATACAGAGAGAGGCAGACACTAGTGACTTATCTAAATAGCATTACTTTGCAGAGTTGCCAGCCTCTATTATCAATTTCACTGTTGCATTTATTGTCCTTATAGCACCAGGGTGTCTGAAGTTCAAGTGCCATCCCCCACCCTGTTCTTGAGTAATTCATGTATTCTGTTCTTTCAACTCACAGGGTGTCAGCATGGCGGCCCCCAGGCCTGCAAAACACCTCCTCATCTTTGACTTTGATGAGACAATCGTCAACGAGAACAGTGATGACTCAGTCATAAGGGCTGCTCCGGGACAAGAGCTCCCAGAACACATCCGCCAAACCTTCCAGGAAGGCTTCTACAATGAGTATATGCAGCGGGTCTTCGAATACATGGGAGACCAAGGGGTCAAGATGCTGGACTATAAGACGGTCTACGAAAACATCCCCCTATCACCTGGGATGCTGGAGCTTTTCCAGTTCCTCTCCAAGAATCAAGACCAGTTTGAGATCATTCTCATCTCTGATGCCAACATGTTTGGCATTGAATGTGCTTTGAGAGAGGCAGGCTGCTACTCTCTGTTCCGCAAAATCTTTAGCAATCCCTCTGGCTTTGACAAGAGGGGCTACCTCACCTTGGGGCCCTATCACTCTCACAAGTGCCTCCAATGCCCAGCAAACATGTGCAAGCGCAAAATCCTCACTGAATACCTGTCTGAGAGAGCCCAGGAAGGGGTGGAGTTTGAGAAGGCTTTCTATGTTGGGGATGGGGCCAATGACTTCTGTCCCTCCATGGCCCTGACTTCAACAGATGTTGCTTTCCCACGGAAAGGCTACCCCATGCACAAGATGTATCAGGAGATGGAGAAAAAGCAACCTGGAGTCTTCCAGGCCACTGTAGTTCCTTGGTACTCAGCTGTGGAAGTTTGCCAGCATCTTCAGGAGTTCCTCAAGAAGAAACGCTGAGAAGGGCTCGTTGGTATTAAAAAAAAAAAAGAAAAAAAGGCTCTTGCTGTCCTGGAGGCAGCACCAAGGAGCAGGCAGGAAAAAGAGGGAAGCTCTCAGAAGCATCTCATTCCTCAATAGCTAAGCTGGTGCCATATCTAGCTTTGCAGAGTTGGACTCAGCTTCTGGAATTCTTATCCTCCCTCTGCTTTTTTCTTTCTTTCTAAGAAGTACTTTCTCTGGGTTCCCACTTCTCCCCTCCCATGATCTTGACATGAGGTCTTCTCTATGCAGTTAGCAAATTCATGCAGAAGGACAGGCATGTTGGCAGATCAATTTATTTTTGCTTTCACATTGAATTCACTTAAAATGATTCTATTTAAAAAAAAAAAAAAAAGATTCACCAACCAACTTGCTCTCACAAGGGCCAAAGTGTATGCATGCTTCCATTAGCTCCAAAATAGAGGTCACCTGACCCACAACTCTATCAAAACAGTTGGGACTGCCTACAGCATTACTCTTTCATCATCATCTTTAATGCCTTTCTCTACATGCCCCCTAGATGAAACTGAAAGCTGCTTACAGTTGGCTGAGCATTGACCCAATAATTCCTGAGGGGTCCTTGCCTCTTTAGGAGGACAGTGGAAGTCTCATCTAGTGCAGCTTATGCTGCTGATATCTCATTGTGAGCACTCTCCCCCTGGGCTTGGGTTGCCACCAGCCTACCCCAAACCCTCCATTCACTGGCCTCTGTAGGCGGAGGGCATGGACATGAGATTTGGTTCAGGCTGTGGGGTTTGGAGAACACTATTCATTTAAGTTTTTTCACTTGGAGGTTGCTCACTGGAACACATTCCTAACCAGACAAGAGCAGCATGAGTTAAGCATTTAAATTGCCTCTTGAAAACCTTCCTCTTCCAGTTCCCATTCTCAAGCCTTTCCCTCAGAGTAGCACAAGCTGCTCATGGAGCCCTTAGATTAAAACCCTGTGCCTGCATTTTACTTTCATTTCTGGGATCACTTTCTCCTCCAGAGCCAAGTCTACCCTGATTGTCTCACGAGACACACTCTTCTATAGTTATATTAAGCACAACACCAAGTGGCCCACCTCCAAAGGCTCTGAGCCAGAGCTGGTTTCCAGAGCAGATGCTCCTCATCTGCATTCACTTTCCTGGTATCAGGTCACATTTAGGCTTACACTCGATCCCAGAAATGTGTTTGCTGAGCTTGCCTGAGTGCTGTCCTGCCTGAATTGCACTTCAACAGCCGTCCTTTACAGCAGTTCAGCAAAGGCAGTTTGAGATCTGCAGCTGACAAGAGATCTGTCTCTACAAGCTAAGTGCTGGTTCCTGTGGGTGTTGGAGCAGCAGTTCTGTGTCATAGACAAATCACAACATCCTTGTTGTTATAGCAGGGCTGAGCCAGCTTCCTGGCCTGATCCTGATCCTGAGAGGTGCTGAAACTCCCATTGATTTCAGTTGGAGGTATGGTGCTTAGTGCCCCTTTGGGGTTAGGCTGCTAGAGGATAAAAACCTCTCTCCACTTCCCATTCCAGAGTCCTGTCCCAGGCAATTGCAGTATTAATTGTCCCCTATGATTGCACTCTGCAGGGGTACCCACTCTGTTTGCCGCCCTCTTATCCTGGCTTTTCCTGGGCTGATTGCAGCATTAACTGCCCCCAATGGTGGCATCTACAGGGATGACTGCAATCTGTCTACTCCAAAGTATTTCCCTCCTGCAGTTGCTCTGCACAGTAAGAAATTAACCAAAGCAGCCCCAGCTTTTGCTCTCCCACCCTTTGTGGGTCCCTCACCTCCACCATTTGTTCTTTCTCTTCTGCTCCATCCAGTCACATGGAACTGAAAGCCATGGACATTTTAGAAACTCCATATTGGTGCTGGGTGCAACATGTTTGTCTGGAATTTCATGTGCATGTTATGGTGGACATTTAAATGACTTTTTTTCCTCTTGTCCCTCGTTATCTTAAAATATATATATACATATTTATATATATAACTATCCATATATGTGTGTATATATATGCACCAGGGAGCATACAACTATTGTGGTTTAACCTTCTCAGCTTGCCCTCATGGCTGCTGAAAGCACAGGGTTGTGGCTTGCAGATAAAACCACTTGTCCAGCCTGTGAGCCCTCCCCATGAAACCAGTGATCTTTGAATAGATGCCTGCCTTGAGGGGGTGTGTGTGTGTGTCTCTTCAGGGACTCAACATCTCAGCATGTTTTCATCCAGGGATGAGCTTCCCTGTGGAACAGCTGCTAACGTGTCTGTGAGTTACACACAATAGAGGGCAGTAAGTGATCTGGGTGTTTTGTCTGATGGGACAGCTGAGCTGGGTAAATTGATCATTACTTGCAACTGAGACTGAGAAACCTGCAATTTGCTGGTGTGAAGTGAAAAGGGGGAGGTGGAAGTGAACCACCGGGTTCTACAGGTAGAAACCAGAATAAAATAGGTTTAGGAAAAGCCCCGGCAGCATACAGTATCAACTGTGATGGGGTATACCACTGCACATTAGGCCTGTGCGAAGCAGCTAGTATTTGCTTCGGGTTCGGATTTGGCCGATTTGTTGGACAGTGATTCAATTCGGTGATTCAAAAAGCTGTCCTGAATCAATCCGGCCACTGCCAAATCAGCCAAATCTCCAAATCTGATAGGCCCCATCCTCTGCCTGTTCTCCCAGCCCAGTCAATGGCTGCCTTGCCTGGCCCTAGCTCCCAGCTTTTAAAAAAGCCCCATAGCCACCAGCTGCTACCAGGCAGGGGGCAATCTCCACTACCCCCCGCTGCCCTGCGCTGTGTGGGGAGCTCTGCCACGGGCCCTCAGGAGCCCAGAGGCCACTGCAGCCATCAGTGAATGGGGCCTTTTTTTTTTAAAAAACGCCCCGGGAGCTGGGGCAGGGGGGCAGCCATGGGGGCACTGGGAGAGCAGGTAGGGGTCAGAGGGAGCAGGCAAGGGATGGAAAACTAAATCTCCAAATCAAATCAGCACCTGAAGCTTTGCACAGCCCTACTGCACACTGGTGTGCATGTTGGGATTGCAAGTCAGTGACATAGGTGTGGGTGAGCAGTCTCCATGGCTCCTGTGCTCCTGCCCCTTTGGGCTTCTCCATGAGTATGGCCTGAGGGAGGGGAGCCAGATCCATCCATCTTACCATGATTTTACCCTTCTTACTAAATCTCAGTTGGCTCATGCCCCTGTGAAATGGGTTTACTACAGAAGTGTAATGGTGAATGGAAGGGCATGGGTGTGTGTTTGCAGTGGGACCTGTTTGCCTATATTAGGTGCTAAAGGGACAGTTTGGGATTGTAACTGCTTCCTGCATCCACTGGCTTTCCCTGTAGAATCTGACTCCGTGGGATGATGATCAATCAGAAATCTACCCCACAGCCACCCAGCTGTCATCAAGGGGGCTGAGTGCCTTATTTGACTGAGGAGAAGGGAAAGCATTATAGGTCACAGTTATGATGTAACTGGTCATCTGTAATCTGGATGGATTTTCCTGTTGTCAAATCAGCCACAGCTTGCACTTCCCTTTGTTTTTCTTTCACGTCCCTAGTTTTTTGTACCAAACATCTTGTTAATTTCTCATTTGCTTATGGACCATGGATGCAAATAAAGCAGGACCGTGGGGAAGCAACTATGTAGGGCTGTGCTTATGAGTAATGGCTTTGGCAGCAGATGAAACAGCTGGCTATTTAGAAGGCTACTTCATCTTTTGGGGTGGAGATAATGGATGGTGCCTCTGTGTTACACTTGACTGCAATCTGAGGACATATGTGGTCCAAAATAATCATCATTTGTATGTTTGTCCACTGTATTCTACATGATGATATTGCTCTCTACTTTCAGAAAATAGCTTATAGCTTCGTTCAGTCTTGTGGACCACCTTTCCATTGCTGTTCTCAATCACATGAGCCTAATTTTACTCCCATGTATGGATCAGCTGTCACTGACAACCAGAGCTAAGTAGTGGACATTTAGCTGTTTTTTAATGCAGCTTGACAGCTGGCAGGAAAGAAAAAGGGCCGACCAACTGTGCTCCACCAACCCATTTGGGAACCTAAATTGTGCCAGAGTTCACTACAGGCAGTTTAACTCCCTAGTTTCTAGGAATGTTGTTAATGTAATTTAGTTACAGTTTAAACCTCATGTCCCCACACGTCCACCACAGGAATGGGGAAGACAAGCTTTCAAAAACTCTTTATTAAAAATGGGTACCCTTTTACCTTAACAGCAAGGGAGCAGCAGTGACAGCCATATACAGCAGAGGGCAGGGTCAGTAACATGGCTATACCCTAAGTGGATTGGCAATGACACCTGTCCTTCCTGAGCAGGTGGCCAATCTAGGTTCCCCTTTGGCTCCAGTACCATTTGAGAACAGGACAGCCACAGGCCTTTGAGAGTACATTTTCCTCACTGTTGATGCTCCCAGTAGCACTCGTCAGTACTGAGTGATCTCCTCCAATTGTCCGGGAGCTGTCATGGAGCAAAGTCCCACAATGGCTTTAAAGCATAAGCTGCAGCCAGAAAATGCATCAAGTTAGACTCCGAGACAGAGCCTTTCCATCTCCAAACCTCAAGGCAGCAGCAGTAATCCCCAGCTGCTCTTAGCAAAACAGTAGCAGCAAAAGCCTAATTTTAGCAGAAGTGGAGCCTTTTACAGATGGTGCTGTTATCACGCCAAACAGTAGCCCATACTGTGTTTTGCAGCTCCCTATCATTACGCAGTGGGGGGCAGTTATACGGGTGGGCTATTTCTGTGCGCTCAGCCATTGAAGCGCACACTCTGGTTTGCATAACACACTTCCCCAAAGCTTGCCAAAGTTAAAGAGTATCCACCTGCTTTACCCCCCAACTATGTTACGTTATCTCACAGCTGTGCCCAGGCCTGTCTATGCTTCTCATCATGTCATGCTTGTGGGTCTTGCCAGATGCATTCATTCTCACAGTAGGCCTGGGGGACAGGCATGTATCATCCTAGCTTCTAGATAGGGAGAACAGAAGTTGGCAACCTGCTCTGAGTGGTTAAAATACCTCCCACTCTTAGGCTAGGCTGTCCCATGAGGAAAGGTCTGTTTTCCAGACTTGATACGCTCTGTTGAGCACTGAAATGTCCCACTCAATGCATTAACCCAGTCATTTTCAAATGTTTTAGACTCAAGGCACCCTACAGAAAATGTCAGCCCTTAGTTTTCACTACTCAATTTTTGGCTACAAAAAATAGTAAAGCAATTTCTTTTGTTGCAAAGAACTCAGAAAGCTCACAACATCAGAATATTTTTGACACTGTGGTTCCCTATTGAAAATCTCCAAGTTTATCTTGTGAATCATGTTTGCACACCTAACAGTGCTCATATTACATGATGCCCTGTGGCACACCTGAAAGGATCTCATGGCACCCCAGGGTGCTGTAGGACCTTGGTTGGGAATCATTGCATTAACTAAACCTCTGAGCCAGTTTGGATTTTTTTTCAAGGTGTTAGGATCCCACTGGTTTCCAAGAACAGATTCTGCGAAGAGGCGGCTTATTCAGAGGGCAGAAAACAATTCCCATTCTGTTGAGCTTTTTATGGAATAGGAGAGAGACTAAAAGCCTGGTATGAGCCTGGCAGCTACCGAAGCCATGAGGCTGAGAATCACAGAATGCCCCAGACTCTTCCCTTCATTGCTAATCTAAGGATTCCTGGTACTAAATCCTATTCAATCAGTGGGGTGGGACACTTTTTGCAAACCTAATGGGAGGTGCCATAAGTTACACTGCACACCCAGGGGGTGAAATCAAAATACTGAGCAAATCAACACCCCAGTAAAATGTGCCCACAATAAAGGCCGATTCCTGGTTCCACTGTAAACTATGGCAAAACTCCCATGGATTGAAGAGGGCTGAGGTTTTAGCTTTTAAGAGAAACAGCAGTGCTTTTAGGGGAGGGCATCCGTGTGCCTCCAACAGCTGTCCTAAGGTATGAGCTACCTTCCAACTGTAGCTTCTCTGTGACCCGGCCAAGGAACGAGGCTCTACCACGATTAGGTGTCTTGATTCTTATAAATGTTTGAAATTTCTGTGGAACAAGTGATGGGCACTGAGGTTGGTCTTACTGGCAATATACCAGTTGCATAAAGATCCATTAACCCATGAGATGAGGGAGAAGGCAATAAACCTCTGCAGGTCTTGAAGCGAACCATCTTCTGCACCCCCGCTGGGCTATTCACAGAAAGGTTCCACGTAGTTGCCTGGAAAAAAGCCCTCCGCCTCACTGGTCACTCCCTCACACCAGCCATCGGAGTACCTCCGTGTAACGTAAACGACGGTCCCTTCTTGGAACGAGAGCTCATTCTCCTTCTGCTGAGTGTAGGGGTACAGCGTCACCACTGAAACAAGAGGAAGAAGCTGAAAAGGGAGGAGCAAAAGGAGAACCAGGATCACCCTGCAAATATAAAGGGGGCTTCAAATCTGGCTTTGACAGCACCTTGTCTCAAACTGACTGGTCATTCTGTGTCTTGGCCGCAGTGGGTCATGGGAGAGGACCAGGGAAGAAGCAGCCCCATGTGCAGCATGACTAACTCTGCAAGGGGTTCTGAAAAGAAGCTGATGTAATCCCCAGCTTCCCTGAAAGGGGAAATGAGCCCTGTCATATATATGCCTTGTAGCAATAGACTGGCTCCATAAAAAAATACAAGCAGCTTTATAGCACTTTGCATGCAAAGATCCCCCTTTCAGGTGGAGAAGCTGAAGTACACAGGCTAGGGGAGGAAAGCACTTCCCCAATGTCAGGGGAGGTCACTGGCTCACTGCTAGACCATATTACCTATTCGGTCCATCAGCAGATGGCCTTCTCACTGACCAGTACTCCTAGTCATTTTGGGCTTATTACCTCTTTAGTCCCTTAAAACTATCCTATGACCTAGGACATTGCATCAAGCCACGAGTTTCACAGATTCAAATGCATCAAATCAAACCAACCAGAGTTATCCACTTATGCCTTAGAACCTCTCCCCTTATGGCAGCTTGGAAACATCATGGGGCTCCAGATAAACAAAGTACCTTTTTCCAAGTAGTTGTCTGGTACCCATGACAATTCCTCTGTATCCAGTGGTGGGGGAGGAGGAAGAGGTGCCAAATCTTCAAAGTCAGTCAAGGCTGGAGGTGGCGGTGGCTCTATGAAGTCAGGATCTGTAAAAATATCCAAAGAATCACCAGGCGATGAAGGTCCCAATGCATGAACAGATGGCAAGCATAGCCAGCTCTTGCTATTCCTACCTGGAGTGGCTAGATACTTATTTAGTGCTTGCCCTTAAAGACCTTCACTTGTGGTATTTCAGTACTGCTGAGAACTTTTTTTAACAATATTTAGGAGGAAAATATTAAGACAGGGATATTGAAATCATGAAATGCCCCTAAAATATAGTCTAACTTTTTTTTTTACTTTGCATAGCTCATGATTTGAAGCTGTTTTCATCATTTCTGGAGGCATAACCCCCAACTTCTTTTAAATGCCTGAGGTTGGCCATGTTGCAAATAGATGAGGAAATAGCTCATTAAGGGATGATGGATCATGGGGAAAATCTTTTTAGTGAACATTTTTTTCCATTTCCATAAAATAACTTTATTGTAGACACACTTCCCCTGGAGAGAACCAGCCCAAGACCTAGGCACTCTGTACATTCCAGTGGGTATTGTACAGGCAATTATCCACAGGAAAGAATTCCGCCATGTTAAGGAAGATGTCTGTGTGTGTCTCTCTCTGTCTCTTGCCAGAATCATCCTAAGGGGAAAAACTGGATCTACCCTGCACCTAGTCAGACTTTCCTTCAATGATTAATGCCTTTCTCCAAAATCAAGAAGCTTTATTTGTATGTTTTTAACTACAGTTTTAAACAATTGGTATCGCAGCACCTTTAAATCATCGAATGTTATAGATATCTAAATGTCCTAACTAGTTTTACTTCCCCCCTCCCCCCACACTTTTTCCTTATTTTCCCATCTCCATTTTACCTGTCTTCTCAGAACTTCTTTCACTTGGGGAAAAGTGATGCAGCAAAACAAGGAATGAAACTCAAAATCTGCTACTCTAACAGAACTTCGAAAAGTTATAGGAGCTACATCCTTCCAGGTTCATTTTTTTCCATTTTGCCAAGCTATTGCTTTTAGATGCTTCCCCAAATTTGAAAAATGTTACAGAGCAGCAAACTAAGAGAAAAACCCTAGACTTCATTCATGTTGTTGCACTCTGTAGCATATTAAAAAATAAAGCTGGGTTGGGGAGGGGACACATTAAATTTAAAAATCTAGAATTTTTCCTAAACTATTTTGTGGGGAAGAAAAAGGTTAAATGAAAATGTCTTTGGTTCTGAGCGTGCAAAAGGAAAACTGTTAAAAAAATTTCCATTTCTTTTTCTTTTGCAAAGCTGTTTTCCATCTTTCTACTAGCTGGACTTGGGAGTTCCATCCCAGCAAAGGACTTGGCCACTGTTCAAGGTTCCCATTATGGTTCACTGTGTGGACATCACATAAGTTGCTACCTGGTTGGAAGCATTTGATTTGGGGGAGAAACAGCATTGTATAATGGTGCAAAAAACAACAACGCATACCTGGCATAGGTAGCAGTGGTGGGAAATCAATTGGTGGCATCTCGAATGCAATGGGTGGAGGTGCAGGCATATCTGCCAGGGGAGGTGGCATTGGGTCTGTGCCCATCAGGGGAGCTGACACAGCTATGGACAAGGTAGGTGGCGGAGGTGGAGCTTCAGGTACCTTTGCATTGATGCTTCCAGGGAGGCTGCTGTGGGTACAAAGAGAGAGTAGTCAGGATGCTCAGAAAGCGAATGCTAGAAGTCAAGCTAAATTTTAGTCTAGCCTCTCTCTGCCACCTGGGTAAACTGAAATGCAAAGCTGTTTCCTACTCTTGCCTTCCTGGACGTTACAGCTCTGAAACTTTCCCCCCTGGCTCTGGTGCTAGCACACAAGTGAGTACCTGCCAGCTGGGTTAGACACAGCTGCAGAGTAAGGTGCCAATTTGGGAAGGCAGGGAGATGTTTCAATTAGTTTTCTGACATTGCCATTCAACTGCTGAAGACCCTCAGCTTCTCTCTAAACTCAGTTTTCTGCCTCTGCCAGATGGAGATAAACCCATTGTTATTAGAGGGGCCTTGAGATTCTCTGCTGAAAGGTAATATTACCTGTCAGCTTAAATTGATGCATTTCCGAATGCAAAAAGATTATTGAATGAACTAATAAAACAGCCAACATTTTCTTCTTGGGGATTTAGAGCCCAGCCAAAGGGTATGGCCCAGGTAGGACTCTGGGAGTATGATGTGCCCAAACTATATTTCCCACGTGTCATTGCAGTGGCATTCCTGAATCAAAATACTTAGGGTTTGTGTTTTGAGAGCGAGTCAAAAATTAAATGGGGGAGGGGGGGAAAAGCCCATTTTCCTACCAGCTCTACTTGCTTTGTCCTAATCTAAATCCTTCTGAACACTGCGAGGTCAACAGGGAACACATCCAACAATACAGTGGATGGAAATGGAGCAGAAGAGGGAGAGAACCTCCAATGGGCTCCCTTAGGCAGTGGTGGTGAGTGGCACCGTACTTCTGTCACATAGATGTGCTGTAGCAGGATGGGATCTATTGACCATTGAAAAATACAGTTCAAATGCAAGCATTTCCCATGAAATGTTTGGTATTTGCTGCACTTGTCAGTTAAAAAAGTCATAACAAAATGAATATGTTGATCTTGCTGTAGATCTTAGTTTTTAATTTGCTTCTTGCCAACAAGAAGGTTAAGTGATTTGGTTCTACTCTGTGGCTTACTGGGGTTTTGTGTCCGTACCCTCTCCCCACCCCACCGCCCTCTATTTATTTTCTTGTTGCTATCCCACATTTTTCAACAGAAAAAAATGGGATGGCAGAGAGGGGAAAAAGGGAAATGGGAAGAAAAATTCAGAGGTACAATATGGAAAGAAAATGCCCAGGGCAGTCCTCTCACCCCTCTCTCCCTGGCAGTGTGTCCTGTAGTTTTCTAGAGCAGCAGTGCTGCCAGGGGGAAACTTTAACTCCATTTTTTTTTTTTTTTTTTTTTTTTT